CCCCGTCCCCCGTCCCCGGTGGGCTCGGGGCTGCTCGGGGTCCCTTCGGGATGTGGGTCTGGTCTCTGGTAACGCCTGGTTCCATGTGTGGGGCAGGGCCTGGTGTTGCCAGAGCAGTGGGTGCCTTGCACACGCGTGTGTGTGTCTGTGTGTGTGCCCACACGTGCCCGTCAGGGGCTGCCTCCCTTCCCTGGAGCTGCAGGGGATGGACTGGGGGGCTCTGGGGACACAGTTCCCCATCCTGAGGGATCGCCCCCCCTTGCTGTGGGGCCGCTGCTCCCCCCGGCTCGGGGCAGGGGGGGTTGTGGCCACGGGGGATGAGGTGGGAAGGGCTATTTGGGGCAGAAAGTGTCCCCCCCTCGGAGAGGAGCAGGGGCTGGGGGTGCAGAGGTGTCACCCGGCAGTGACACCGTGACCCTCCCTCCCCGGAGGGCTATGGGGGGGTGGCTGTGTGCGAGGGGCCTGGTGGGTCTGGGGGGGTCTGAGCGACCCTGGTCCCGCTCTGGGGCTGCCCCCCGTGTTCCTGGGCTCCGTGTGGACTCTCCCTCTCTGCCCTCAGGAGCTGAAGGGCTTCAACTCTCTGGACGACCTGCTCCACGTCAAAGGCATCACCACGCGCATCCTGGAGCTGAACAGCCAGCGCATCACCTGCCGCAGGAGGCCCAGCAGCGAGGAGCCCCCCCGGGCCCCCCCCGGGCTGCAGGGGGACAGCAAAGCTCCGGCAACGCGGGTAGGAGAGGGAACGGGGGGCTCCCCTGCCTTGGGGGGGAGCGTTTCGTGTCAGGGGAGGTGGGAGCTGCAGGAGGGGCCCAGGGACGCTGCGTCCCCTCAGGTGTCCATGGTCTCCCTGTGGGTGGCAGCTCCTGGTGGGGGGCTGAGGGGCTCTGGGCCCTGCTGCCTTTGGGGTGTCCCCCTGGCGCTTTGGAGTGTCCCCCTGCGGGCTTTGGGGTGTCCCCCCGGGGCTGCGGTGACCCCTCGGCACTGAGCCTCCCGGGACCTGCTCCAGGGTCCCCCATAGAAACAGCACTCTCTCCCCAGGGACACGCAGGGTTCCTGCTGCCCCCCTGCCCCACAGCAGCCAGCCCCATCCCCAGGGCCCCTGCCCCACAGCAGCCAGCCCCATTCCTAGGGTCCTGCCCCACAGCAGCCAGCCCCATCTCTAGGGTCCTGCCCCACAGCAGCCAGCCCCATTCCTAGCCATCTCTAGGGCTCCTGCAGACAGTCATTAAGTTCCACTAATTGTTCGTTTTGGGAGGCCAGAGCTGGGTGTGGACAGAGGTTCCTCCCCTGGAGGAAGTGGCCAGAGCCCGTGTCTTTGCCAGTGGCCAGAGCCCTGTTGTCAGTGGCCAGTGGTGGCCAGTGCTGCCTGTTTGGGCTGGCACTTGCCCAGCTCAGCCCCGGGGGCTGCGGGAGCCCCACGGTGCCGTCTGTGGGGCTGGGGAGATCCCCCCTCCGAGGAGCAGCTCTGTGCTGTGTGGGCTGAGGGGTGGTGGGAGGGAGTTGCACCCCTGGGAGCTGTGGGTGCCCGTCCTGCCCCCCAGGAGCCCGTCCCGGGGGCTGGTGTCGCCCCAGACCCGGCTCTGGGTGCCAGAGGAGACTCTGGGCTGGGTGCTCCCTCCCGGAGCCCAGCCCTGTCCCACCCGGGGCCCGGTCTGACGGGTGCCGTGGGGTGACCCGTGGGGTGACCCGTCCGCCCCCGACACGGGGAGGCTTCCAGGGCCGGGCACCTCCCGAGCACTGAGGCCTCATTTCCAAGTGTCCGTGGGCCCAGCCTCACGCAGTGAACCTTGGGCAGGACCCACTGCGTTGTCCTTCCTGGGTGTGAGTTTGTGCCGGGGCCAAACCACCTCCAGCTCCCTCCTAAAAAATGTGTTCTCCACACTTTCAGTCATTTGGTGGAAGAGATTGACCAATATCATGGAATCATGGAAGGGTTTGGGTGGGAAGGGTCCTTAAAGCCCCCCCAGTGCCACCCAGGGACACCTCTCACCAGCCCAGGTTGCTCCAAGCCCCCTCCAACCTGCCCTTGAACCCCTCCAGGGATGGGGCAGCCACAGCTTCTCTGGCCAACCTGGGCCAGGCTCTCACCACCCTCACACCAAACAAGTTCTTCCCCACAGCTCAGCTCCATCTCCCCTCTTTCAGGGTCAAACCCTTCCCCCTCCTCCTATCAATCAATATCTTCAAGTTTTAGGTGTTCTGTTCAAAACCGTGGGTTGGGTGTTGTGGGACCCGGCGTGTGGGGCAGCAGGGGGTCACACCATTCTCCTCATGGTGCTTCCTCATGTTTTTGAGCCTGGAGCTCGTGCTGAGCTGACCCCTGAGTCCCTTTGGTGGTTCCTTTGCTGGACACACACCCCCGGTGCCTCCCCCCGTCCTTGGAGGGGGAGCGTTGCCCCCGGGTGCATTGGGGGGGTTTAGTTTGGGGGAACCCAGTGATGTAGGTCACATGAGTGAGTGTCCCCTCCGCGCTGCCCTCCCCCTCATAAAATGCCACCAGAAACTGTTCTTATCTACACCCAGATCGGGAATAAAACAAACACTGACTGCTGTGGTGTTACACCCCCCTCACTGGGCCTGGCAGCAGAAAACCCCCAGTTTCCCATTCAGGGGTACATTTTGGGTCCCTTTCCCTTGCTCTGGGTCTGACCCCCCCCCCTCCAGCCACCCATGGAGGCTGTGGGGAGCCGGGGTGTCCTCGGGACCCAGGGCCCTGCTCGGACACTGTGTGCTTTATGTCTTTGCTTTTTTCCAACCCAGTGTAACACCAAAAGGAATAAACTCTGCTTTATTTGAAAAGACCTATTTCCGCAGAGTCTCACGTCCCCAGCAAGTCCTGGATCCTGCACCGGCCCCTCCGGCCCCAGACTGGGCAAAGGCTCCTTTCTCTCCCTCCTTCCTCAGCTCTGGCACAGCTCCCCACCCCCGGGCCTTGTGATTTCCCCTGTATTCCAAGTTTTACCAGAAATTTCCCTCGTATTCCAAGTTTTACCAGAAATAAGGGCCGTGGGCCGGGGCTCTCCTGTCCCGCTCTCTAGGATGGGGATGTTGGGGGTCCCGGGCAGAGGGTGGGGGTGATTATTGGGGTGTGGAGAGAATTCCCCCTCCCCGGGTGGAACAGGGGGGGCTCTGCTGTCCCTGAGTCCTTACCGAGCTGCTTTCTTCCTCTTGGGGATCCCCCTGTGGAGGGGGAGCTGGTGCCGTGGATTTGGGGTTTCCTGCTTGGCCATAGGGTTGCTCACCCCCCTTCTGAGCTCCTCAACCCCCCCTTCTGAGCTCTCCACCCCCCTTCTGAGCCCTTTACCCTCCCTTCTGAGGTCACCCCACTTCTGAGCTCTTTACCCCCCCTTCTGAGCTCCCCATGCCCCTTCTGAGCCCTTTACCCCCCCTTCTGAGGTCACCCCCCTTCTGAGTTCCTTAAATCCCCCCTTCTGAGCCCCTCACCCCTCTCCCCTGCTGCAGGGGGGCCTCTGTCCCTTGGGCCCTGACTGTCACCTCCCTGCTGTGTCCCCAGACCCCGGGACGGGTGCGGAGCTGCCAGACAGACCTGACCCCCCTCCCTGTCTCGCAGGTGGTGGCCGAGGAGGAGGAGGACGTTTCGGGGCGCTGGCAGCCGGAGCGCTCCGGGAAGGGCAGCCCCGGGTCGGGCCCCGCGGCTGATGGCTCCGGGGGGCGAGGGGCGCAGGACCCCGTCAGCTCCGGGCTCTGCGGGGAGCAGGAGGAGGAGGAGGAGGAAGAGGAGGAGGACGGGAGCTGCTGCAGCGAGGAAGGGGAGGACGGCAGCAACGTCTACTTCTACTACACCATCGGGGAGCGCTGGATCGACTACCTGCAGCGGACGGAGGACGGGGGGCTCCTGCGCCACGTGCGGCCCAAGGTGACCCCCCTGGGAGCGTCTGCTGGGTGGCTACTGGGCAAGAGCTGATGTTGGCCCATTGCCCCTGATCCCGTACTGGTGGCCCTGGAGCCTGCAGGCACCCACTGCTCGCCACGATGGTGCCAGTGCGAGCCATGGGCTGTGGCTGCGAGGTGGGGGGTCTGGCCATCGTCACTGGTGCAGCCCCCCAGGACAGGCTGGGAGCTCAAGGGGGGCTGGCAGAGTGTCCCTGGTGGCCACTGGCCCCCCTGGCTGTTCGGGCTGAGCAAGGAGGCTCTATCCCAGCCCTCCTGAGCGCTGCTGGCTGTCCCTGGCTGTCCCCATCCCCCTTGGAGCTTCCCTGCCCGGGACGGGGGTCACTTTGGAGCCTCCCTGCCTGGGGTGGGGGTCACTTTGGAGCCTCCCTGCCTGGGGTGGGGGTCACTTTGGAGCCTCCCTGCCCGGGGTGGGGGTCCCGGTGTCGCGGTCAGAGCCTCCCTGGGGACAGCAGGGGTCTCCTGGGGGCAGGCAGAGGCCCTGGCAGGGACAGAGCTCCTTGGAAGGACCAGGCTCCATTTCTCCCATGGGAGTTAACTCTTGTGCCGGCTGGTTGGATCAGGGAGTCATGGGATGGTTTGGGTGGGAAGGGACATCACAGCCCCCCCAGTGCCACCCCCTGCCCTGGGCAGGGACACCTCCCACCAGCCCAGGTTGCTCCAAGCCCCCTCCAACCTGGCCTTGAACCCCTCCAGGGATGGGGCAGCCACAGCTTCTCTGGCCAACCTGGGCCAGGCTCTCACCACCCTCACACCAAACAAGTTCTTCCCCACATCTCAGCTCCATCTCCCCTCTTTCCGGGTCAAACCCTTCCCCCTCCTCCTAGGACTCCCCTCCCTCATCCAGAGTCCCTCCCCAGCTTTCCTGGAGCCCCTTGAGGGACCTAAGGCCACTATAAATAAATAGGCTGGTGGTTTGAAAGGTCCCTTCCAGCCGGTCTGTGGTACCAGAGCTCACTGGCCTCCAGCTTCCCCAGAGGTCCCCAGCGTGGGCTGGGAACGCTCACGGGGCTGGGGCTGCTGCTTTTGTCCGAAAATCAGTGGCCCAGACCCCGCTTGGAGCCCCCTTGATCTCGCCTTCCCCTCGCAGATGAAGCGGAAGTCGGAGAACGGCCTGGACGGCAGAGCCCTGTCCCCGGGCAAGAAGCTGTGCAAGGGCTCCGAGTTCGGCAGGTGAGACCGGTCCCTCGGCCACCCCGGGCTCCTGCTGGCCCCATCCTGTCCCTCGGCCACCCCGGGCTCCTGCCTGTCCCATCCCATCCCTCGGCCACCCCGGGCTCCTGCTGGCCCCATCCTGTCCCTCGGCCACCCCGGGCTCCTGCCTGTCCCATCCCTTGGCCACCCCGGGCTCCCGCTGAGACCTCCATCCCTGGAGAGACACAGGAGCCATCTGGGTGGCTCGGGGACTATCTGGGTGGCCCTGCTTGGGCAGGTGCTGGACCAGGTGACCCCTGGAGGTGTCCCCAGCCTTGGCCAGTCGGTCACTCTGTCCCTCCCAGAGCAGGGTGGGCGACGGGGCTGGGGTCCTGCTGGAAGCGATGGGGAGGGGGGTTGGTCTGGTGGGGGAGGCCCATAGCGGGGGTCCCTGGGCTCCTCTCCTCTGGGGGGTGTTTGCAGGGGGTGACTCTCGCCTCCGCTGTGGCCTCCCCCAGGACGCTGGGTCCCTGCACCCCCAGCCCCACCACCACCTTCGGGGACCTGCGCAACGCCAAGACGGGCCAGGGCCGCCGCCGCCGCATCCCCTCGGTGGTGCCTCCCCCCGAGCTGCAGGACTGGCTCCGCACCTTCCAGGTGAGCTGGGGGGCACCCGGGGGGGCAGGGGCAGGGCTTTGGGTCCTGCGGTGGGGTTCTGGGGGGGTTAGGAGCGTGGAGGTGGTGTTACCCCCATGTTGCTGCCCTTGGTCGGGGTGGTACCGCTCTGCCATCACGCTGTGCTCCATCCGATGTGACTCGGGGCTCCTGTCCCTGGGGCCCCTCTCTGCTTGGCTCTGGGAAAGCAGAGCCCTGGCCGGCCCTGCAGCCCCAGGGTGGTCTCTGCTGGGGCTGGGGGACCCCGAGCCCCTGGGGTGACCCCCGTCCTGTCCCCAGCGGTGGAGCGGCCCCGAGAAGCTGCTGGCCCTGGACGAGCTCATCGACCGCTGCGAGCCCTCCCAGATCAAGTACATGATGCAGGTGATCGAGCCCCAGTTCCAGAGAGACTTCATCTCCCTGCTGCCCAAGGAGGTGAGTGGGGCCGGGGGGTGGGCCAGCCCTGCTGCTGGCCACTGGTCACCGGCCCTGGCAGCCCGCGGTGCCCCCGTGACTCGGTTTCTCCCCCGCAGCTGGCGCTCTACGTCCTCTCCTTCCTGGAGCCCCGGGACCTGCTCCGGGCGGCCCAGACCTGTCGCTACTGGAGGGTCCTGGCTGAGGACAACCTGCTCTGGAGGGAGAAGTGTCGCGAGGAAGGTGAAGACCCCTCCTCCTCCTGGCGTGGGGCGCACGGTGGCCGCAGCGGGGTGGCCCGCAGCCCCCAGGGGTGCCCGTGGGTCGCCCCCCGGGTGGGGTGAGGGCCGGGAGCACCTCGTTCGGTGGGACATGCCCCTGCTCTCCTCCCGCAGGCATCGAGGAGCCCTTGAACCTGCGGAAGCGTCGCCTGCTGAGCCCCGGGTTCATGTACAGCCCCTGGAAGTTCGCCTTCATGCGGCAGCACAAGATCGACATGAACTGGCGCAGCGGGGAGCTGAGAGCCCCCAAGGTGGGTGCCGGGGGGTCCGGGTGAGGGACTGGCTTCGCCAGCTCTGGCACCTGGGCAGGAAGCAGCAGAGCAATGTCTGTCACCAACAGGATGAGAACAACACTTAAGAATTTAAAATTGCCTGGGGGAGGAGAGTCACAAGCCCGGCCTGGCCTCGGGAGGCGTGAGCCAGAGGCGTTCACCTGGAAATGGTGTCATTTAAAGGTCCTTGAAGGTCCTGCCCATTTCCTGCAGGTCCCAGCCCCGCTCACGTGGAGCTTCCCTGGGCTCGGCTGCTCTCGGGGACAGGGCTGGGGTCCTGCCAGCAGAAACGGGGTCACCCTGGGCCCCAGAGATGGGGGTTCCCATCCCTTCACCCCCTCTCTCATTACCCGAGGCAGGGCTGTGCCCAGCCTTGGCGTCCAGGGAGGGGAACAGTCCTTTGGGGACATCTGCCCGTGGGGACATCTGGGCTCGTCTCCACAGCGAGGTGCTGCTCTCGGGGCAACCTGGGCCAGGCTCTCGCCGCCCTCCCACCAAACAAGTTCTTCCCCACAGCTCAGCTCCATCTCCCCTCTTTCAGGGTCAAACCCTTCCCCCTCCTCCTAGGGCTCCCCTCCCTCATCCAGAGTCCCTCCCCAGCTTTCCTGGAGCCCCCCCCGACATTGAGGGACTGGAAGGGGCTCCAAGGTCTCCCTGGAGCCTTCTCTTCTCCAGGCTGAACCCCCCCAACTCTCTCAGCCCCCCCTCCCAGCAGAGGGGCTCCAGCCCTCCCAGCATCTCCGTGGCCTCCTCTGGCCCCATCCAACAGCTCCATGTCCTAAGCATCCTCTGGCTGGTGGCCACTGGGTTTTGATCCAGGACATGATGTCAGGTCTCAGCTTCAGAGCTTGTGCCACCTTACTTACCGCACAGTTTGGAGTCCCCGGGTAGCCCACTGTCCCCCAGCGGTAGCCCCCATCTCCCCCCATGGCCCCCACTGCCTCCTCCTCACCCCGATGGCTCTCCTGCAGGTGCTGAAGGGACATGATGACCACGTCATCACCTGCCTGCAGTTCTGCGGCAACCGGATCGTCAGCGGCTCCGACGACAACACCCTCAAGGTCTGGTCGGCGGTCACCGGGGAGGTGAGCTCGGGGCTGGTGGCCACGGGGCCTGTGGGAGAGGGGTTATCTCCTGGGAGGGTGCAGCTGGGGAATGGATCAGAGTCCCAGCTGGGCAGGGACCTCTGGAGACCCCCCAGTGCAACCCCCTGACAGAGCAGGGTCACCCAGAGCAGTGGGACAGGAACGTGTCCAGGTGGGGTTTGAATGTCTCCAGAGAAGGAGACACCACCACCTCTCTGGGCAGCCTCTGCCAGGGCTCCATCATCCTCAAAGGGAAGTTTTCCTTATTTTCTGCATCCCAGTTTGTGCCCGTTGCCCCTTGTCCTGTCCCCGGGCACCACTGGGAAGAGTCTGGCCCCATCCTCTTGACCCCCACCCTTTAGCTCTCACTCAGCATCCATGAGATCCCCTCTCAGTCTGCTCTTCTCCAGCTGAACAGCCCCAGGGGGGGCGAGGGGCCGGGTGGGCCTGGCACAGCGAGTGCTCGTTATCATGGGGGGGGTCTCTGTGGGGGCTGAGTGTCTGTGGGGGGTGGGTTTTGTGACCCGAAGAGCTCCGTGGACCCCTCCCCCGGGGGAATCCCGCGCGTGGCCTCTCCTTGTGGCGGCCCTTCCCGACCCGTGTCTGGTCCCCCCCAGTGTGTGCAGACCCTGGTGGGACACACGGGGGGCGTCTGGTCCTCCCAGATGAGGGACAGCGTCGTCATCAGCGGCTCCACCGACCGGACGCTGAAGGTGTGGAACGCGGACACGGGGGAGTGCGTGCACACGCTCTACGGGCACACCTCCACCGTGCGCTGCATGCACCTCCACGGAAACAGGTACGGGGGGCTCGGGGAGCCTTCGGGGACCCTCTGCGCTTGGCACGGGGCTGGGGGTGCTGCAGCAGCCTGCTCTGCACCCCAGAACTGGGCATGGGGGGCTGTGGGAGCCTTCGGGGCTGCTCTGTTCCCTGGGATGGAGCAGGAGGGGCCGGCAGAGCCTTCGGGGACCCTCTGCACCCAGGATGGGGCTGGGAGGCTGGAGGAGCCTTCGGGGACCCTCTGTGCCTGGGACGGGGACAGGGGGGCTGTGGGAGCCTTCGGGGCTGCTCTGCTCCCCAGGAAGGGGCAGGAGGAGCTGCAGGAGCCTTCAGGACCTGCCCTGCCCCCTGGGACAGGGCTGTAGGAGCCTTCAGGACCTGCTCTGTTCCCTGGGATGGGGCAGGAGGGGCTGTAGGAGCCTTTGGGGACCCTCTGTGGTTGGGACAGGGCCAGGGGGGCTGTGGGAGCCTTCGGGGCTGCTCTGCTCCCCAGGAAGGGGCAGGAGGAGCTGCAGGAGCCTTTGGGACATGCTCTGCACCCCAAAACGGGGCAGGAGGGGCTGCAGGAACCTTTGGGGCTGGAGCAGCCTGTGGTGTGGGACCCAGGGCAGTGAGGTGCAGAGCTGGTCAGGGCTTGGGCTGAGCTGTAGCTGGAGATGCTGCGTGGGAAGAGGGGCTGCCCCCTGGGGAATCCCAGCCTGGCAGGGGTGGGCAGGGACCTCTGGAGACCCCCCAGTCCCACCCCCTGCCAGAGCAGGGTCACCCAGAGCAGGTCCCACAGGAAGGTTTGAATGTCTCCAGAGAAGGAGACCCCACCACCTCCCTGGGCAGCCTCTGCCAGGGCTCTGCCACCCTTGTGTTGGGCTGTGGTGCTTCCTGGGGGCCGGGTGGTCCCGGGGTGGTCCCGGGGCCGGGGTGGTGCCCAGGGTCCGGGGGTCTGCAGGCAGTGCCCTCCCGCAGGGTGGTGAGCGGCTCGCGGGACGCCACGCTGCGGCTGTGGGACATCGAGACGGGGCAGTGCCTGCACGTGCTGATGGGGCACGTGGCGGCCGTGCGCTGCGTGCAGTACGACGGGCACAAGGTGGTGAGCGGCGCCTACGACTACACCGTCAAGGTGTGGGACCCCGAGAGCGAGAGCTGCACCCACACCCTGCAGGGACACACCAACCGCGTCTACTCCCTGCAGGTACGGCCCCGACCCCCTGGGACACGGGGACACACGGGACATGGCCCTGCAGGTGGGACCCCAGCCCCTTGTCCCCAACCTTGGGACACGGGGACACACGGGACATGGCCCTGCAGGTGGGACCCCAGCCCCTTGTCCCCCCCCTCGGGACACGGGGACACATGGGCCATGTCCCTGCAGGTGGGGACCCCCCCATCCTCCCCCCAACCTTGGGACACGGGGACACATGGGCCATGGCTGGTCCCTGCAGGTGGAACCCCCTGTCCTCCCCTTGGGACACGGGGACACACGGGACAGTCCCCGCAGGTGGGACCCCAGCCCCTTGTCCCCCACCTTGGGACACAGAGACACACGGTCCATGTCCCTGCAGGTGGAACCCCCCATCCCCCCCCAGTCTTGGGACACAGGGACACATGGGCCACGGCTGGTCCCTGCAGGTGGGACCCCAGCCCCTTGTCCCCTCCCCCCGGGACACAGACATGGGCCACGGCTGGTCCCTGCTGGTAGGACCCCCTGTCCCCCCCCATGGACACAGGGGCACACTGGCCATGTCCCTGTGGGTGGGTCCCCGACCCCCCACGCACCCCCTGGCTCTTTCCTGGGGGGGAGGT